ATTTCTGACTACGCTACTAAGATGTGATGCACCAATAGAAAAAGATGATACCCTATATTCACAATTTAAACATACTTTGATTCATGTTTGAAAGAAGGAAAATACACTATTCTCACAATTTCTTTTATACATAAATTTTAACTAAAATGATATAATAATAATAACAATACATTTGTTGCGGTTACTAGTGAAAAGTAAAAATCTAATTAAAATTATAAAACGGTAATGGGGCATTAACTTCCATAAACTTAATAAAAAAACAGTTAGTGGATCAATAAAAGATATATTTTATTTTTACGGACAATATAAAAAGTAGAAAGTAAATGCTCACAACTAGTGGCATAATTTGTATTGAGTGAAATATTTTTAAAATATGTAAAAATATTAAAGAAATATTTTGACTTTTAATAAAATGTATTGAATTTAATAAAAAAATATTTTAAAAAATTTGGATACTCAAAAAAATAATTAGAATTTTATTCATAATTTTAAAACGTGATTTAAATTGAATTTGTGTATAATGTAATCCATACATATAATTTGGATGCCACACTAACATGTCTTAATTAAATTATGAGTACAAATTTTAAATGTAGTATTACTAAAAATGTTTTGGATTTAATAAAAATTGTCTTACGTTTCTTTTTTAATCGTATTCTTGTGTCTTGAGGGTTTGTTTGATTTGCAAGATAATAGTGAGAAGATTAACAATTTATGAGATTAATGTAATATTAATTATCCAACTAGATTAATGACATATGTAATTTTCTCTTATCTACATTTATCTTGCATTAGATATGAAAATATATAATCTTAATTATATGTATATATATTTGCATTAGGAGATAGGTTGTCTCTCGTCCACAAGTGGACTGGACAATACTGCTAAGTCCATAAGGCTGATCACGGGTTTTGTTTCAATAATTTGAATCATTCAATATGTAGAGTTCGTTGAATCCTTTATCCCTGTAAAAAATACGTTGATCAGATATCAATAGCTTTTTGATCGGACTAGATTTTTGTCAATAATTTATTTTGAAAATTATATTTACCATTGACAGAAATCTGATCCAATCAAGTAATTATCGATATCGGATCAACGTAATTTTTTTATATGGATAAAATACTCAATGAGTTTGACATATTGAATGGTTGGGATTATATGGTAAGCCTCCACGAACCCAATAGCATGCTCCTGTTCAATTTTGAACTAAAGAGAAGCTTGACCTTTGCATTATTAGTTGTAAGACTAGAAAATTTATCAATTTTGTTGAATAAAGTTATTTTTAGAATCTAATCCAAATACAGTAACAAAATTTGTAATCAAATAATGAAATATAAGTCTCATGAATTAATAATTACAATATTATATTGCAGCCCATCTAATCAAACAAACCTTGAGGTTGTGTTTGATTTAAAGATTTAAAGATAAATTTAGAAAGGAAAAATGAAAAGAAAAAATAAAAAGGCATGTGAAATTAGATAAAATAGGAATTTCATCTAATTTTACACATGTTTTTATAGGGAAATTCTATTTCTACACACAAGGTTATCTCAGTGCACATCTTTTCTCAGTGCACACGCTTAGTAGTTTGATTATCAATTTTTATTCTCATTCCACATACCAATTATATCAATCATACTCTTAACTCATATATTATACACACACCATTTTAACTTTCTTTCTACTTTCTACACACTAACCTTTTTTCCACACACCTTAACCCTCTTCCTCCATTCAATTTCGATTTTGACGTCGCTATATTCGATTTCAATCTCACCATCAAGATGATCCATCAACAACTTCTAATGTTCCTTCAGAGTTTCTCTCTCAAGTAGTGTTAGGTGTTGGTTGGTGAAGTTGGGTTTATTGTTTGCATCCTGTTCATGAATTTCTCTAGCAATGGCGAGTCTTTGCCGTGGTCAATATAGCGATCCCGGTATTCCCTTGTTGTATTTGTCGTATTCCGGACCTTGGTTGCATGGAGTTGGTAGTTGTATCCATCTTATTGTCATCCTTTGATTCCATTTCTTGAGTTTTAGGATGTGTTGGGCTTGTTTCGAGCGGGTGGGTTGAGCCTTAGTCTAAAACCTTGTTTTTATGTTTTGGTTGTTCCGCTCGAGCGGGTCTTGGAGCGCTTGAGTGGATATTGTGCACTCCCAGTATTTTTGTGTCCCTGCAAAACTTCTGCAGGTGTGATTTTTACGCTCGAGCGGGTTTATTTACGCTCGAGCGATGGCGCTCGAGCGGGTACTCTGGTGCTTGAGCGGGTAGTACCTTTTTGGTGTAAGTTCTGGGAGGGGAAAATCTACGCTCGAGCGGATTGGTTTTCGAGCTCAAGCGGATATGCTTTATTCTTGTGTCTTGGCGCTCGAGCGGGCCTTTTTGCGCTCTAGCAGACATAGTTTTTGTTCTTGACGCTCGAGCGTTGTGTTCTCCGCTCGAGCGGGAATGTCATATATCAGTTAGCAGCTGGGCATTTTAAATTCACTTTTTACATCCTTTCTCTCTCTTACTTTTCCAAAAAAGCTATTTTGAGAGTTCCTCTCACTAAAACCCTAACTTCTCTCTTAGGATTGATCCAGTAGGAGTTATTTTCTCACCTTGGGCCTTTACAAAAGTTGTGTTGATCGTCGAGGGCTATCTTTTAATCTGAAAATTTCGAGATTTCGAGCATTTCTGTTTCTTCATCTCCTTCGTTGGGTCCCATCATTCGAGGTAGGGATAACCTACTCCATCTTATGAACTTTGTCTTTGAATTTTAGCATTTTGATATGTTGGGAATTATTGGGTAATTTTGAGAAAGTTTGGGCCTTTGTGTAATTTTACAAAAGTTGGGGTTTTAAATATAAACCTATATGCATGTTAGGCATAGAGAAATGAGATTAATGTTGGGACATTGATGGAAATGGAACCTTAGGGTTGTTTTGTGAATTATGGTAATTTTCTCTAATTGGTTTAATTAATTAATGCATATATTTAATTAAAGAAAACGAGGAATTATATTGAGAATGTTGAAATTGGGAATGTATGGGACTAAAGAGTGTAGTCGAATCTTTTATTGCTCATCTAGTTGAAATGTTGATATATTATCCACGTGTGCATTTATTTCCTACTTAGAAATAATTGCTTGGGGCTACCGGTGGAGGGTGGTGTTGATTGTTGTAGACAATGTATGATAATTAGGCAAACTAAAACAAATCAATTGGATGTGTCATAGAGTATGACGGTTGATAGAACGCATTAACTTTATGTGTTGGTTGATTGTGCATATGGCCAATGTGTTTATATGCATTATGTGTAGACAGTTGATAGCATACATTAACTTTATGTATTGATTGATTGCGTATGTGATTTTGTGTTTATATGCATTACTTGTGTATGGGAGGAGATGGGGGATGTACTCTTAGGGGAAGATGGGGGATGTACCTCTAAACCGGTTAATGGTTAAGGGAAGATGGGGGATGGACTCAGGGATGCAGCTCATATGCTCTCCCATTGTAGTGATGATACAGCTCATATGCTAATCTGTTAAAGTGTTGATACAGCTCATATGCTTATCTATTGGAAGTGTTGTTTGATTTGATATAGCACCAAAATGTATATCATCATCGTTCGTGAAGTATGAAAGTGTTGTTTGATTTGATATAGCATTAGAATGTATATCATTCGAGAGATATAGAAATGTTTTGTTTGACCTTGGTACAGTACCAAAATGTGTGTCCATCATGAACTTCGCAAGTATTTTAGTGATGAACTATAATCACATCGAACGTTTTGGCCAGGCTGTTGAGCCTTGTTTTCAAACTATATTTTGAGGAAGAAATAGAAAGTGAATTGTATCGTGGATTTGAATGTCATGAAATCGTAATGTGATGTAAATGAATGTATAAGTGTTGACCATCTATCAACTGTTAATCTTTTAGTCATTATTCATAGTTGGTTTAGTATATTTCTACTGGGCTATAGCTCACCCTATATGAGACACCATTTTCAAGTACATGAAGCATGCCACCTCCAAGGACATCGCTTGGGAGGCTAGAGGCAGGCAGACGTTTGTGGTTTGTTATCTTTGTTGTATTACATGTAATTTCAAGCCAAGGGCTTAAATGTGTATTTGAGTTAGTACTCTCCTCTTTGCAACCAAGTGTTAGCTTGGAAAATTGTAAGCCCATAGGGCATTTGATTCTATTGTTAACATGTAATGCTTCCGGTAAGGAATTACTCTGTGGAATAGAACGATGATTGTTTCTTATATCAATGCATGTCTAAATTGATGGGTTTAAATTTTTTTTTTTTTTTTTTGAGGGCGTGACAGTCAAGGTGCTCTGGACGTGTGACAATGGAGATACTATGGTGAAGGTTTGTTGGCTTGCCTCTCACGGTAGGTGGGTGTGATGGATTGTGCCTAGATATGTTTTATTTCTACCTCTGGTGATTGTGGTTCAGGCGATCTGGCTCCAAGTTGCTGTTGGGTGTGGATGATGGTTTTGTAAGTTTCGCCGACAGTGCTGGGTTTACCAGCTGCGTCTTATTCGTGAGTTTCTCCGGCAATGGCGAGTCTTTGCTGTGGTCAAGGTGCTCTGGATGGATTGTTCTATGATGATGAGATGGTGGTGGGTGAAATTGTGAGATATGTGGGTGAAATGGTGGTGAGTGATATAGTAATTTTGTTAAAGAATAAAATTGTAATTCTAAACAAATTTATTAAGTATGTGGAGTAAGAAAACTTGTATGTGAAAATAGAATTTTCCGTTTTTTTTTATTATCTTTCTAAATGCATGAACCAAATATATATTTGTTAATGAGATTCAAAATAAATAATAAACAAAAACAGAAAGAAAAAAAAAATTCTAATCTCACCATTTGAGTTTAGAGGATCCAATTAGTGCTTTAAACATATTTTTGATTTTTTTTTTTTTTTTTTTTTTTTGTTAAAAAAAAAAAAAGACAAAAAAAAGAAGGTATTTAGCTACGACCCACCGGACCTCTTCTCAGCTCCCAACACCTCCCCTCCCCTCCCCTCCCCAAATTTACCTTCCAATCTATCCCACCACCACCACATCCATGGCTTCACCACCCACTCTCCCAATCTCCAGCAACCAATCAACCACCACCTCCTCAGCCGCCGCCCAATCCCAACCACCCATAGGCACCCCAGCCTTCCGCTCTTTCATGACCCGCCTCTCCACCTCCGTCCGGCAAGGCCTCTCCCAACGCCGCCCTTGGTCGGAGCTCATCGACCGTTCCTCCCTCGCCCGCCCTGACTCCCTCTCCGACGCCGCCTCTCGCATTCGCAAAAACCTATCTTACTTCCGCGTCAACTACATTACCCTAATCGCCCTCGTCTTGGCTCTCTCTCTCCTCTCTCACCCTCTCTCTCTCCTCGTCCTCCTCTGCCTCCTCGCCTCCTGGCTCTTCCTCTACCTCTTCCGCCCCTCCGATCAACCCTTCGTCCTCTTTGGCCGCACCTTTTCCGATCGCGAAATCCTCGGCCTCCTCCTCGTCTCCACTGTAGTTGTGGTCTTCCTCACCAGCGTTGGATCGGTTCTGATCTCTGCTCTCCTCGTCGGATTGGCGATTGTTTGCGCTCACGGCGCGTTTAAGGTGCCCGTCGTCTTGGCTCTCTCTCTCCTCTCTCACCCTCTCTCTCTCCTCGTCCTCCTCTGCCTCCTCGCCTCCTGGCTCTTCCTCTACCTCTTCCGCCCCTCCGATCAACCCTTTGTTCTCTTCGGCCGCACCTTTTCCGATCGCGAAATCCTCGGCCTCCTCCTCGTCTGTACTGTAGTTGTGGTCTTCCTCACCAGCGTTGGATCGGTTCTGATCTCTGCTCTCCTCGTTGGATTGGCGATTGTTTGCGCTCACGGCGCGTTTAAGGTGCCCGAGGACCTGTTTCTTGACGATCAAGAGCCAGCCAACGGCGGTTTCCTCTCGTTCCTCGGCGGCGCCGCATCCTCGGCCGCCGCAGCGGCAGCTCCAGCTGTTGCCGCCGCCCGGGTTTGATGAAGGTTTGATTCGATCTCGTACGATCTGATTCGATATAATATGTGATCTGTGAGGGTAACATGAATCTGAACCCTCTTGTTTCAATTGAATTGTAACTTTTCTTTAGTAAAAATTGATTAATTTGCCTGGGGTTTTGCAGATATTGATTAGGATTTTGTTTGATCTGTCTCTAGATTGGATCTGTATACTGCAAATTTAGATCTGTCTTAATTGTTTGAGATTTAGCTCAAGTTGATTCATTGCCATGTGCTCCTTGTAATGCTGTTTTGATGGATTTTGATCATCAATTTTATTTAGACTAGTCTTTCATCTAGCGTTTTAGTCAATTTTTTTTTATCATATTTTGTTTCCCCAAACGTTCTTCTCGAGTATTTATTTCAAATTTGGTTCTACTTCTACACTTCACCACAATATGCAAATTAGGCTAGAAAACAAAAATAAAGAATTAAGCAGGAGAGAAAAGAGAATAAAATATTTTTTTTTATTTTTTTATTCATAATAAAAGAGTTGGATGATATATGGAAGCTCTCATTCTTGTTTTGATCTTTTATGAGAGAAATAAAGAGAAAACGTGGATTATTCTCTCTCTTGTTTGGGAAAATATAGAACTTGCCCGTCGTTCTTCTTTGCTGGTAATAATCCCTTCTGCTGTCAATGTTGCTGGAGAAACACGCCATATCCTCGACCTTGAGGAATATGTCTCCATCGTCGGCAAATCAATAAACAACTTGATCCATTCCTTCCACCACCGTCTCAACAAGACCATCTGCAAACTCGCCCGAATCAGCACTCATCTGAAGAAGAAAACAGGGCTATGGTAATGTCATTATGGTTGATGGGTTGACTTCTAAAACATATTGATGATGTAGGAAACGCCCTTACAAGGTGGTGTTTTCTCCCATCTGGTAAATTGCCATGGAAGATGAGAATGGGTCTGCATCTTTTTTATCTCAGCCTTAGATCGAATGCCCTGCAAAAAGTTTTGGTTGTCCTTGGTCTACACCTCATTTGGGTAACCATCCTATAATTTTTTTCACTTGTTTTTGTTCAAGAGGTTTACACTTCAGTTTATTGTGCTAATATGACTATGTATTATAGTTGATTGCTGAGAATCATAGATCCAACAAGCCGTGTGAAAAATTACCATGATGTGATATGTTTCATTTTGAATGAATGTAAGTGCCAAGTTCCATGTAATCTTTTACATAGTTTTAATTTTTGTTTTTTTTTTTCTTTTTGCAAAATTATTTGTTCAGAAATAGAAGAAAAGCTATGTGAATTATAGGTATACAAATGTATCTGGAAAGATTTTAAGCCTTTCAACTCCCTGTTGAGATCGAGGAAAGAAGGTTCGTTTCTCTGGCAACATCAGCTGAAGTAGATTCAGCAACCAAATGGAATGGTAGTCTTCGGCTCTGTACCTCATACTATTATTATTATTATTATTATTATCTCTGTTACTTGCAAAAACATTCAGTCATTAGTGTTGTGCTTGCAATGACGTTGGCACACATGAACCATTGGATACAGGTAATGTGGCTCTCTCTTAAAAGTAGTCAAGAGGATAATTGAGACTATCGGTCTGGAGGAGCTTATCCCGAGCTAAACAGGTGATTTGGGAGTTTATTTCTCTCTTGTTGAGCTAAAAATTTCTCTCTTATTAAGCTAAACAAGTGATTTTTTGGGAGCTACCTCATTTTATTGAGCGCTTATATTTCCAAATCCTTTTCCCTCAGTACATATGTAGTTAATTTTTTTTTTAATTACAATTTTTGTCCTAAAATAAAACTCTACCATAATATCTTATCTTCTTCATTCCAAATGTTATCCTTGAACCATCTGCCACTACCACCCTCCATTGTCGATGCCGCCCCATTGCAGCCCCCTCTATCTCTCTCTTTTCTCCCTTGTGTGGCTCTCTTCCTCCCTCGTTGAACCCCCCTACTGATGTGAAATCCCTTCACTTCAACCCCTCACTTTTGCATCCCCTTTTTGTCGTGAAACTTGCCTCTATAAAACCTTGTCACTGCCGCGAACAAGTGGGTTTGATAGTTGATATCCAAACATATACTATTGGTTTGATGGTGGTTGGAACAGTTGAGAAAAAAGAGTGAAGTTAGGGTTTGGTGGTGGTGGTGTGTGCGATCTAGGGTTAGAGTTAGGTTTGGAGGTGGTGGCAGGGAACTGGATTTTTTAGTGCAAGGCTTTCAATGATCTTGTTGTGACTTTAACCGCACCAGTTAAGACATGATTCAACGGTTTAGGTCTATTTCAATTTAACAAAATCAAGAAAATATGTGGTGATTTCCCTTTCTGCAAATATAATTGAGTTACCTTTTATGCAAGTATTGCGGATTGATCCAAAATATAACAGATCGACCAAAGACTTTCCAAAAAGATTAGGCTTTAAGGTACGGGCCGACCCAACAAATGACTTGTCAGGTCTCATTTGGCAATTGGGTTGGGTTGGTTTTTTTTGGTTAAATTAGTCATAAAAAGACAAAATAAGTTAAAATGTCAATAAGATAAAATGTCACATTCAAAAAATTAAAAAATTAAAAATTTAACTCAACATTCCAAATGAAACCTAGTCGACCCAACTATGCATGCTCAAATATCAAGTATGACTTCTATCATCCCTAGCTCCAATTGTGGTCTTGTTTTGACTCTTCCATACTTTTTTAGGCTAAATAATAAAATCCTAGTTAAAATTTAATTTTAAAACCATAAAAATAAAAAAGCTAAAACACAAATGCACCGTTGTGGTTTATCAAAAATATGGATTCCTTTTCCATGTTTTGAAAATTACAAATATCTCATTATTATAATTTTTTTCTTTAACTGATCTAACTGTAAAAAATAAAAAATAAAAAATAAATTACCTAGATACCTTTTAATACCAAAATAAAATTATCATACAATTCTCATTTTTGTCCACCCACCACAAATTTCTCTCTACACCACCACAAAATTCCCAAACCGTCTTTGGCTACACATCAAATGTTTATAAATAGACAATAATGATGGTGGTGCATTGGTCAAAAGTGAGGAGGGGTGTGATGGTTGAGTGAAGTGGTTATACTAGTTAAGAGAAAATAAGAAATAAGGAATGTGAGATGGGCAAAAGGAAAATAATAATAATAATAATAATAATAATAGTGTTTAATTTCATAAAGATTAATGTAGGTATTTCTATAAAAAATCAAAATAAAATTTGTTACTTACGTCATACTCTATAGTTTAACTTAATAATTGATTGTCAAAGGAGGCTATTTGTCATATGACTAGCATTAGTATTTAATTTCTTATTTTTTCTATTTTGATTTTTTTTAGTTGTGGTCCCTTGATTTGTGATTTTTGTGCCGATTTGTAGTGGGGCGGGAGGTGATGGTGGAGGTGAGATGAGAGATGATGTGAAGAAGTGATTATATAATGAGGGCAAGAGGTGTTGATAGTGGCTATTAGGGTGGAAGAAAAAGGTATCGTTGGTAGGATTCATAGATGTGGTTGTGCTTGTGGTTGTGCTTGTTGGGGTGTGTCATGGTGGCAGTGGCAATGGCAATAGAATGGAAAATGAAGAGTGAAGAGTGGTGGTTGTGGCAACGAAGGCGAATGAGGAAGTGAAAATTAACCCCTAAATGATATTGTATTTAATTTTCAAATGCTATCTAAGGCGTTTCGGCCTTGTTTAGAAGCAGACTATTTAAGTAATTTTTTATAAAAAAAAATGTGCAGAAAAATAAAAAGAGTGATGTGATAACTTATAGCAACTTTTTAGTTTTTTTAGTTGGCTTTGGCTATTTTAACTATTTTTTTGTTTGGGACTAAAGTTTGTTTGGTTTGGTGGTTTGGCTTTTTTGACTTTTTGTATTGGGAATGGTGTTTCAAAAAGTAAAGTGACAAAATTGCCCTCCATTTGCCAATTGGAAAAAACACCTCTAAAAAATGTATACATTTTTTATTTTAGTTTTTCAGTTCAATTATTTACATTTCATTTGTTGTATATTTTATCAAATTTTGGTTTCTTAGTTAATGGTTGCTGCTTTCCAATAACAAAAATATAAAACAATTATTTCCACTGTGACAATGGATTGTAGTTAACGGAAATTTTGCTGTATTTCCAACTTCAATAATTTGCATAAAACTTAATTTGTATGTCACAATTATCTTGTTAGTTAATGGAAAATTATGTACACTTCCAGTATGGCATTTTCATACATCAGCGTAGAAAACACGGGGAAACTTCTGAACATCCCGGCAAAAATAAACGTTGCAAATACAGATTTCAAGGAACTTATTTCCCAAATTTTGGGAAAGGTTTGTACGTAAAAAAATTTCGTCAGTTAATACATACCACAATAGGTTTTTGCAAATTAATATATCACATGCCACAAGAAGTTTGTGAACGACAGTAATACTGTCAACGATAATTATCGTCAACGGACAACAAATAAACCTACCAAATTCGAAACATACATTCCTAATTAATACATGACGTACATACCGACTCTACTGCAAATACTAAACATGGTGCTACAATTCCTTACAAGTACAAACAACAACAATAATTTATATGGATTCGATGTAACTTACAGACCGACTTCACCCTATATATTTCCCAACATTTCGTGGTTGCATGTATATCAAACGGTCTCTTACAAGAAGGTGCACGCTTACCATATGTGAGTCATCATCCCCAATCATTAAACCATCCTTTCCATGTGTTGCCAAAGGTATGCCATTGATTATGGTTGCTGCAACGTCCTCAGTTATGATTGGGTGAATAATGGTTGGATTGCCAGTATTTTCTACGTATGTAGTTATATAAAGCCATCGACGGACCAACTAAATGTACTTACGCAATTGCAAAATCATAGCGAGGCATATTTTTGATAAACCTCCGCTGATTTTTTCATGCCCCGAATGTTTGTTTAACGACACTCTGCAATGACAAGTGAGCCTTGTTAAATAATTCTCTTGGGTTCGTTGCATTCTGTTCATTTTGCCAAAATTCTTTTTGGTGATAATGGCTATCGCAAGGTAACCCCGTTCGGTTAGGATAGCCAACATCAACAAGATAATATTTTCTTGTCAGATGTAAACAAATAACACTATAAGCTTTCCCTTTATACATCAACATACTTACCTTTTGTATATCATTGTCCATACCTTCCTCCAGGTGTGAAAACGGCACATTTTCATTGCTGATTATTTCAGCGAAAATTCGACTATCATGCATGTTGCCTTCCCATCCAAGCGATACGAACGTAAAACACATGTCGAAATCGCACATGACCATGATATTTTGGGTGTAACAGTATTTGCATCCAAAATATATTGCTGCATCAGGCCGCGTGAACTTCGTAACAACATGTGTGCCATCCAAAATGCTGATACTATCCTACTTTGCAAATAAAAGAGAAACAAATTTCAATATATGCGAAAGCTTTGATGTAAAAAATCGTATGTTATTGTGTACATATGAAAGTTGTACCTTGAATGGTAGGTATTTCATTTTTGACCATAAGTAAGGATGTTGATCATTTTGGTTTGTTGTAAGCCTGCAATGCATAACCGTAAACTTCTTCATCACCTTTAAAACATTATGAACATGGTGTGATACAGTTTCCCTCGAATGTTAAAATCGTTCTTAGATGGCTCTATTTTTAAACCCTCTTAACACGTAGATGAACATTGCAACGCTTTCTTCTACGGCTAATCCATGGCCATGTTGGTTTACACATAAACCAAAATCTGCAACTAAAGTGCCACACAACGAAGAAAATACTTCCTTGGCATATAGACATTTTCTTCAAAACGACCAACGTGTCCATCAAATAATTCACATATTCATGTATGCTCAACCAAAATTGATGTTCCATATGGAGTTTTTAACATGCGTTTTTCGTAATACTCTTGTAAATACTGACATCCTTCCACGTACGTCCGGTTATTATGTTGTTGTACCTATATAGCCATTTGATTTATTTGCTCGACGAAGCCATCGTTGTTGTTACCCTCCCTGTTGTACATGGCCACGACTTCAGCAAGGCCTACAACACATATGTCCAACACTAAAATCATTATGGTAAGTGTCAACTTGTTCAAGCATCTTACAAAAGTGTAACTACAACATAAATGTGACCAAAGAAGAATAACGATTAAAAAATTGCGCAATCTGTCAATAGAACATGCATAAACCATCCATTCCATACTGCATTTAGAAATTTAATAAATAAAAAATAAAAAAATACTCCAAGGCAACCAACCAACATTATTACAACGCTATTTGTTTACGACACACGACATACAGCAGCTGAGGAAGAAAAAGAGAAGAAAAAAAAGCAATCCTAATGATCCAACACAACAAACAGGTTGTCCTAAAAATAGCGTAACACGTGTAGCATGAACAAACGTCAGAGAATAGCAGCAACCCAAAATGTGGCCTTCTCCCAGCAGCCATTAAACCCATTGTGCACCAAAGAGGTTTGCAAAAGGAGCTCTAGCATAGCTTTGTAGTTGCTTCTGCGAAAGCCATCTGATAATATGATCATCATTGAGCTGGCACATCATAACCTCGCGGTAATTAGCGTTGTTGATCAGTGACGACGCAAAGTGGAACAATGGTGTACCAAGAAGGGAAGGAATGGATTTCAGCCTATCCATGCACTCCGAAATGTTATGCAACGACTCATTACCAGTTAAGTGCCTAACAGTGACTTGTTGGTTTTAACTCCGCATGACATTGGTAAGATTGTTCATGCTTTCAGCTAGAGCAGATGCTCCATTTGTCGGTTTCTGTGACTTTGCACAACTTGCGGTTGGAGTCCTTTTCCTTTTCCCCCATGTTTTAGCACCTTCCATTGAAGATTCAGCCTCCATTTCAATCCTAGTTGAGGGGATTGGATTTGCGAATGGCCGCATACCAAGACTTTCAACCGAATCAAAAGAGCCCTTGGGAACTTCGACAGTCTTCTCACCCGAGGTCCAATGATGTTTATCGGTTGTAGCAGCCCCTGTAAAGACGATCTCCATCAACTCTCGGTGCTCCAAAGGTTTTGTCTTGAACTTTGCACCAGCCTTGTTTGTTTGCAGAATAGGAAACAAAACAAAATTAGCAAAACTTTGTTAGAAATTGAAATTAATAACAATACAAAATTAAAAAAATTACGGGAATACTATACCGTTTCCATATTGTCCCACCATGCATCAGAAGCCTGAAACAATCCAGTTTCTTTGTTAAATCCAATTCCCGTAATTCCTTACCATCCATCAACTTGATCCAAGTAGTCCAATTTTTTTTCAAGTTCGCATACTTGTCTTTCAACTGTTTCACATCATGTTTTTTGCCATTTTTTTTTCTAACTTTTTCGCCAATGACTTGTGCCCAGCTGTGCTCAATACCATGAATGGGCGGTTTTCTCAATAATCTCATCGGAAATAAGCTCTAAGAAAATCCTAGTGGATTCAATGTCCCACATAGCTTTGAGAACATGGTCTATGTCGTCAATAATGATCGGTCTACCCTTTGCAATCCCTTTATTTTTCAACGAGGTACATGTGGAATCCATAACAACTATGCATGAATACACGAAAGAGTAAGTACCGTATTTACAAGCATACATAATACTCACCCAACCTGATTTGCTCAATAAAATAGACTAGGCAATATGACATAAAACAAAAAATATTACGTACTGGTATTTAAAGACAAACAGTTATGTAGCTCCAAATCACATACGTTACATGTCATGCACAAAACTAACGAGTCCACAACAAACATAAGTCATTACATTCGCAGCTTTGCAACTATGTTGCTAAACTTGGATCGGTTTTACATAAACAACAAAATAACAACTACAATGCATTGCACAGAAACAATGGTTTTCAAGATACGCAATATTTGTTGAATGTGAATGACATCATCCCGCAAGTGCATGACAATGTCGTTAGTGGTAGAGTCGTACCCGGTGGTCTGTCTCCTTGGTTTGTCGCACCAACCAATCCAACTTAAACATTGTTGACAAAAAAAATTTACAAAGTTATTAGTTAAAGGGTCCGGATGAAATGAAATTTATCACTGAAAAGAAAGGGTGTACTCACCACAGGACGGGGACAATCATAGTAAGCATGCCTTGGATTTTTGTGAGATCTTAAAATCTTGACAAGACATTGACCATAGCCATAGTCATACATGCGACGTGATCATGTAGTAGACGTGCCAGTTGACATAAAAGAAGTCATGTTTTGTTTTGTAACATATAAGACTACAAGAACTAGACAAGGCGTAAGAAAGTGTGTTTTCATTTTATTATTGTCAACGTGTCCAAAGAAAGACTAGTTTTACGAAATTGGGCAACAAACATGTTCAAATATTTCTTGTGGTATGTGTCTATAAAAATAAGGAAGGAAACATGAAAACTGAACACTCCCCACGAATACAGATATGAGTGTCATAAAAAAGTCATATGAACATATCGAACATGGAAAACCATAATATATAGCAAATTGAACAAGGGAATAATGGAGAAAACAGATAAATTTGATGTTCGTGGTAATATTTGAATAGCAACCCAATTGATCATCTTTTATTTATTTGTTAGCCATTTTGGACATTGAACATTGAACATATGGACATTGAGCATGGACATTGTACCCTGTATTTGATTGACATGTCATACATTGGGAAAACAATAAACAACATTTTTGCAGTGTGAAGAGAAAATACCAATGGATGCACAATGTAACAAAAAGGATGACTTGTTTGGAAATGGATGGGAATGTGTGGCCTATACTTTACTCATGAGCTTGCATGATGCCACTAAACCCAAGTGGTTTCATCATCACTTCTAGGCCATGTTTGTTTGGGCGGACTGGATTAGCATTCCCATGACTAATAGTCCTAGGATGACGAACCTGTTGGATTATGTATCCTATCTTAACTAATAGTCAAGTTTAAAATAATTAGTCTGTACTTCAATTGTTTAACCAAACATCGGATTAATAATTTTATTGGACTATTAGTCTAATCCCAAGCTCATGTTCACCCAAACAAACATGACCCTAATGTAACAAATATTTGCTGTGTAACAAAAATGACAAATAACACAATGACCA